ATGTTGGAAACTTTATCTTAAAAATAGACCTTCTCAAAAAAAAAAAAAAAGGCCTTCTATGTGGTTTTGGTCTTTGGAGAGTGCTAGACGTACTTCCTGAATTACTACAAGCTTTACTTCTTGCTGACGTGGATGTGCTTTGAATATTCAACACATCAATTTAAAAAAAAAAAAAAAAAACCCAGTTAACGCCATTTTCTTTTCTTAAAAACTCCCTTCATTTCCATTCGCCTCCTCCGCAGTGGAAAAGCTCCCGGCGAAAACGGAGCCTGAAAACTCAGTCGACGTCGCCGGCAACTTGGACGATGGCGACCACACCTCGGCGAACCCGTTAATTTTCCCCCCCATTTGAGTTCGACGTTGCGACTTTCTGTTACAGAGACGGAGATTAAGGAGGAAACCGGCACTCCCACGCCGACCACGCCGACAACTGAGCCGTTTTGGATTTTATCCGAAAATATGATATAAAGTATCAAGAGGCTGTTTTTATTGCTTTGATTCAGCATTTTGGCAAGGCCGAGTTGAGCTGTTTCGTGCTATGGGTAGGTTGTATAACTGTGTTCGAGCAGTTAAGAGTTTTAATACGATACTAAATGTTTTGGCTGGTAATGATCAGGTTATTGATGCANNNTGGTAATGATCAGGTTATTGATGCAACTAAGCTCTTTAGGGATGGTTATAAATTGGGTTTTAAATTGAACTCTGTTTCGTATAATATTATGGTCAAAATGTGGCTTGGTGAGTGGGATAGAGCTAGACAGGTGTTTGATGAACTGCTTGTGAGAGAGGTGGAGCCAACTACCGTTTTCAATTTAATTCTCATTTTGTGGCCAGAAGTGGGAAGCTTAACTGGTGGTGAATGGCTGATTGGTGCTGCCAGAAAGTTGAAATTGATTCCAATTTTAGTTTTTGCCACATGTGCGAAGCTGTTGTAGTTTTGTGTATTTATACTCTTGTAACCTTCTTCATTCAATAATAATAGAAATCATACAGCAGACGTTTTTCTCTGCTCTTCTATCTGCCTCATTTTAGTTTCAATCTCTTGATTACTTTGTTTTAGAATTCATACAGGCGTGCAATTTTGGCTTGTAAAAGAGACACATGAGATCCAAACCAGCATTCTACCCAAATAGATCAGTAATCATGAGCAGAAACATCAGATACAAACCAGCAATATATCTAACATAAATGATAAATAGCAATCAATCTAAATTCAAACCTAACTGCTCAAACAACATCTGCCAACAAACTTCCATGTATTGCTCAAACCAAAATGCAATCTGCAATGATCAAATCAACAAAAACACACAAATATATAAGCAAAAAAGAAGTTCCATTACAAAAGAGAAGCATTACAAACATCAGTGCATTCCTAGATTACACATTGGTCATATACGTATACCCTAATCTAACTACACCATCCACACTTCACCACTACTGCATTTCCCCACTCCCACATGAAGCAACACGAGTTAGAAAATAAATAAATTACAACAAACGTCAACAACGTATAGAAACCAATGCGGTAGAACTTCTTATCCCGACGCAGCCCCATGAACAACATCTGAAATAGATTTATCCAGGCAGCATTCATTCAATCCCAGTAGTTGTTGCATTCCTTCAAAACACCAGTTCCAAATCACAAACTTTCAGCTTTCTCTAAGTTCTTGATCACGACGCAGCCCCTTCAAAACACTAGAATGCAAACATTCTGTGGCCAGTGGTGGGTGTCTCGATTTCACAGAAGGTGACGGGGCAGGGAAGAAATTAGCTCCCTTGGTGTCTCCCAAACACGAAACGGGAAGTGAATAGGCACTAACCTGGAGAAATAAATTCGTCGGAGGTTTGATGTCACTGGTTTGACTGCGATTCGTCGTCGGTGTGCCGGCGATTGCCTGGATCGTGAGAGAGGAGTGCAAGGGGAGATGGTGAAAATTGCAATGTTGGGGGTTTATTCAAAAAGAGAGATTATCACGTGATTTTCCTTTCCACTCAGCCGTTATGTCTGACTTTCTAAGTGCCATGTCAACCGCAAGTAAACCATTCGGGAAAAGTGTGTAGTACGTATAGCTTTTTCCTTAAGTTAATACCCCTCTAGTAAAACAAAACAAACTTCTTAATAATTAAGGGAAAAAATAGTAAAAATAAAGGATTACACTTTTAGCCATGATTGGTTTTGTTAAAAATATAATAATATGTTTTTAATAAATTCTAATCAAAATTGATGAAATGTGTGGTTGAAAAGTTAATAGAAATTGTGAATCTCGTGGAATGTGTGATTGGAAGTGGAATTGAAAATATATCTTTCTATATATAAAAAGTGTCTATTTAACGGAATTTGTTGGTTTAACGGAAAAACTAATGGAATTTGTTGTTTTAACAGATTATGTAACAGAATTTCTTGTTTTAAACAGGCAGCTGCACCTTCCTTCAGTGTTTTTATCATAACTTTGTATTCCGATATCCGATTGAGACAATTCAAAATGAGTTAGAAATCTAACTCATTTGTTTACAACTTTGTTTC